GGCTGGCTGTAGCTACCTGGCAGTGGTGACAAATAAAGATGGTGCAAGCACCATGCGGGAATAAGGAGTCATGTCAACAACAGGGAGCCAAAAGTAGTGACCATCTGTCTGAATGGTCAGTTAATTTTCACTATAAAGTCCACTATGTTGTCCCCACGCTAAATAGTGATGAGGGATTAAGGGGTTAGAGCGGCGCTCAGACACAGCCTTTGGCACTTATACGTCTTGTATTAATGCTCAGTTGCTAAGCAGCTGCTGGGTGCTGTCTACTATCTTGTGGAGCTATATTAGATGGCACATTTTTACCTACATGACATTGATTGATATGGACTTTAGAAGAACTGTTTAATTCAACTTTTCAAAGCACTTTTCATACAGTCAAGATGCTTTATGGAGCAGAAATGCATGTTGATCGTTGATACATTAATAGTTTATTCTGTCAGGATGTCGTTAGGAGCATATTGTAGTTAAGGAGAATTTACAAAATATACAAGTAGAATTTTGAAGGTCAAATATATTTATTTTAAAAAGCTAAAAACTAATAAAAAAATTTAAAAAAAGTTTAGGGATGACAAAGATGAATCGATAAATGACACTTATAAAATGATTAGACCTAAATTAAAACACAGAATATCTTTAATATGCATGACAATGGCTATAACACTACTGCTAATATCAGATGATAGAGAACAAGTTAAAGTATAAACTAATTATTATATTAACAGCATGCATTTCACAATTCTTACAGTGCACTTTCTTGTTGGAACAGTACAAATTTGTACTTTATTACTAATGTACTTTGGACTTTGGAACCTTTTTGATAAATAAAGACAAGTACTCTTAGGTCTGGTGGAATTGGTGGACGACCCAAATGCAGAGATGAGGAGGCAGAGATGAGTTCTTGCAGATTTAATGCAATGCAGATTGCAACAGAAAGACAAATACACAACTAATCAACACCAGGACATGACAGGGAGAAATACACATGAGGATTAAGCACTGAGGAACTGCACAGGTGGAGTATATATGGGAGACAGAACAAAGACTGGGGTAATCACCTGATAGGGAGCAGGTGTTGATAGAACAACTAGAAGCTGGGCAAGAAGCTGGCAAGTAGACTGGCACAAGACGGTAACAGAGAGCAACACAAAAAAACACAACACTTCTTAAATATAACTAGAAAACAACTACAATAACACAAAACGGAAAATAAACAATTACCAAGAAAACACAAGGAGATAAATAAAAATGTTAATTAAATCTCAAAAAGCAACTTAAACAGAACTGCAAAGGGCAGGATAACAATGGATGACAAGTACTGTACCTTTGAGATAACATTCTTAAAAACTGTAACTGAAGGTACAAAATTTCCCTGTCTTGTACCTCTATTTTTGAATGTGTATGCCAACAGGATTGCAAGAGAGCTCATAACTTGGATGCTATTTAGAGCTTCTGTATGATATAAATATATGCTAATTTGACTTGTACTTTAATAAACAACATTTTGACAGTGAATGTTTTCTGTCTGTGCTGTAGATAATTAAGATTTACCAGATTATTGTAAACAAGGAAAATAACTAAATAAATTACTTTTTAGTTGCTATTTAGTGGTTATTAAAAAAAACATAAAATGTTAAATCACCTTTTTAAGCTGAGGGATTTACTTATATGATAAATTGCCCGTTTTTACTATTACCTGTTTTACAAATCCCAGGGGCTTTAAATCCAGGGCTTTCAGTGGAAAAGGGGCTAAATGGATTCTACATTAATAAAAGGGTCATTGCTCCTAGTCACACAGGTGTGATTGCCTAAAGTAAAAAAATGAGGAATAGTGGTATTTAAAGAGCATTTAAAGTGGAACAATTGGGGGATGAAGGATTATTACACAAAACTAACGTACAATCAAATCCAGGACAGCCTGGGGAGCAGGGCAGGCGAAAACCTTTGAATGACTTCTCGAAAATGCAATGTGGTCTTTCTTGTTATTGCTTCTAGCACTAAATGGGATCATTTTGAGTGAGTGTTCTTTTCTGCAAAACCAGTTTCAACCTGCATCATGTCTGATAAAAAAGGTTAAGACAAGTTACAGTGAGTCAGGTGTGTCTATACTAGGAAAAAAACTGTCAAGTGTCATCAGAAACTAAACTCTTGGTGTTTTAAGAATAGAAATTATCAGTTTCATCAGAAGCAAATTTATCAGTGCCATCAGAAACAAAACTATGAGTGTCATCAGAAACAAAACTATCAGTGTCTTTAGAAACAAAACTATCAGTGTAATCAGAAGCAAAGTCTGGAGTTAGATGAGCTCTCGCAAAGCGAATGTTAAAATCACCCTTTGGGTCCTTGCCGAGAACATTAACACCTAAAATGAACTTAATGTGATATGGGTCTTTTTTTTAAGTTGACAATTTTTTACATGTTTTAAACCATCACCATGGAAGGACTGTGTCCTGTGGTTGGTAGGATTAACATAACCCCTAAGGTTGGAATTCCAATCCTGCTACAGCTACTAGTTGTTAAGTGGCATCTCTTTCACACCTGTGAAAACCAGTGACAATGACAAAATGGGGACAGTAGCATTGGTATTGGTATTAATTATCATGACCACATGACTTTCTCCCATGACTCTTGACAAGTGGTCCTTTAAGATGTCAATGTTTGAAATCATGCATGGCATGGAAGGTGCACCTTCCATGCCATGCATGATTTCAAACATTGACATCTTAAAGCTGGTTTATACTGAGAAACCAGGTCGTCTGCATGTGTGTCGCAATGAACGCAGATATGCATGCAGTTAGCCAAGCCTTGTAGCTACACCAGGTCCTGGAAAAAGACAGAGTTAACCGTTTCCATCTGTCTTTGGACTGCTGACTAATTTAATGTTCAGCTGATCAGGTCCAAATGGTTTCACCTCCAGCTTCTCTTGGTAAGTTTTCTTTAAGGGAATTCACTTCCGTGACAAGACCAGTCAATTAGCCGCACTAAGACTGTGACGACAGTTCCTGTCAGCTTAGGGTGCAGCTCTCCTGTGCTCCAAACTCTCCTATCCTTTTCTTACTGGACAGGAGCTACTGTGCATGTACAACTTTTAACGAGAGTTAATAGCTGAAGATTTTGCGCCCCAAGGCAGAAATACATCACAGATCCGACAACAAACGTAGGCCCACTTTTTAACAGCCTGGAACCACCAAGATCAGGAACACGTCCACATAGTGGTCCTCAAACAGTTCCTTAGCAGCCAGGCGACCTTAGAACACAAGAAAACTTTACAGAAAGTGTAGTCATAGATCTCTGCCTACTGCTTACCAACAACCCATTCACATCTCTAACCGAATTTTCCAGCTCAATGATCACCCACTGGGAAACTGACTCTGGTAATTGACACCTGGTTACGCTGATCAAAGTTCCTTAAATAAGTTTGCCAAAACAGTGTTGGACTGTGCTGGTCCCCTTCCTGATCTGAAGGGTGATTACATGGTTAGCCGCATGTCGTCATGCAACCACTGGTTGTATAGACTGTCCTGAATGATGTTTGCTACATTGATAACTGGCAAATTTTTTTGGGAAAACATGGTCTAATTCGGAGACCCGGCATCCATCTCACTTCGAAGGATTTAGCTCTTCTTTCGAGCAATTCAGAAAGCATAGTTGTATTTTAACACATTTCTCTGCAGCTTCTTTACTGTTACCCACTCATTACTCCGTCCAAACAGTGTCTTACCCACAACCAAAATCATATCAATTGACAAAGAATCCTATAGGAATAAATCATGACAATCTAATAAAAATAAAAATAACTCATATTGGGGAAATGTTTCAACTATTAAATGTGTTTTTAATGAATATTAAAACACATTAATAAAGTTTGTTAGTTAATAAAACACATTAACTAACAGGCTTTCTTTAAAAAGTCTTTTAGTTAATAACTTGAATTGTAATAATCAAACTGATTTATGTTGCCTCACAGAAACTCGGCTACAGCACAAGGATTATGTGAACTCGAGGCAACTCCCCCTAGTTACTTCAGTTTTCACATACCCAGAAATCCTGAGCAAGGAGAAGCACTAGCAACAATCTTTCAGTCTGACTTATGGATTAATGGAATCCCACAAAATTATAGCTCTTTTTGAAAATTTTATCCTTAGTTTCCCTGATCCAAATAGCAAAGCATCAAAATCTCTTCCTTTAGTAACTTTGTATTGTCCACCATGTCCTTTCCCTGAATTTTTTGATCAGTTTTCAGAGTTACCATCGGATTCAGTGTTAAATACTGACAATGTCAGTACAGTATAGTGGGGGATTTTAACATCCATGCTGAGACTGAAGGTGATAGCTTAAATGCAGTCTTTAACACTTGACTCGATTGCTTTTATTCACAATGTGAATAGCCCCACACATTCTCATCTTCATACTGGGGACCTTGTGTGGACATATGGCATTGCATGTGAAGAAATAACAGTATTTCCTTAAAACCCTGTCCTCTCTGACCACTTTTTAGTAGCAGATCATTATCAGATAACACAGTTTTACATTTTAAACAGTCTGTTCCACTTTCTATCTCTTTTGTAGCACTGAACAATACTGCAGAGGGCATTCATATAATTTGCCATTCACAAACTGATGGCTGATGGTTTTATTGGTGGGGCTACCAGTTCCCCGTTTACTGCCTTAGACAATGTAGGCCCTTGGAAAAAGAAAATCTTTAAAAATTAAAACCTGGCTCCTTGGTTCAATGCAACGATGCACAGTTTGAAGCACGATACCTACGAGACTCATACTTAGCCTAGAAAAACAGTTTACTGTTGTATAATATGACCTTTGTGCAGTCTTAAAATAATTGTCATCTCGTCACAAAACGTTTTTTTAATAAATAATAATGGAGGCAGAGTAAGGTACAAGTCAATCTACTTCTGTTTACCCGCTACACAGAGGAGAATTATATTATCAGAGGACTGGTTTATTTTAAAGAAGCTACTGTCCACACCTACTTCTGCCCGCCTTCTTTTTGCTCCTTTTTTTGTCTGAAACAAATTTTGCTTTTACCAATCAACCACTGTCAGAGCAATAAGACGCCCTGGTTGTCCTGCATCCTGATCATCTTTCAAAGCATTCAGAAAATCCAACCACAGGTGAGAAAATCTAAAACATTCAGATTAAGAGACAGAAATGTTCTCATTGCAGAAATACCTCAGTAGCTATGTGTGTTGTTCTCTTAATTCCAGATTTCTATGAGCAAAGACCAAATCTTTTTGTACCAGTAAAACCAAATAATATTTATCATACCATACAGGTGTACTTTCAGGTATGCTGTCATTGAATTAAAAATATTTATTTTGATTAGGCTTATTTGTAAGAATAAAAGTTCCTTATAACATTAACAACCTTTAAGCAGTTATTAAAAATAGTTTTGATTAAGCCAACCTTTTTGTATTAATCCTTTTCTGGAGCGATCCCCTATCCGGAATATCTTGTTTTCAATTCCTATAAACCAAAGGTTCATAGAATTAAAGCCTTAAAATATACCTCCTGGGTGTAAGAGTTTCAATTAGTAAATTAAATAAATGAACTTTTTATTTACATTGCGTTTTCTTAAGATACATTTGTTTTGTTTTTTGCATCTTCATACGAAGATAAGGCACGAACAGATTTGTTAAGTCTATAATGATCATATATGTTTGAATCATTTGATTTAACATTTTAAATTATGAGGATTGTAGAAAAAAAAAATTGGCAAAAATACCTTTTAGTTTGAAGAAGTGTCATTATAGCAAGCAATAAAAAGGAAAATGTGTAGATAGTTACAGCATACATTCCTAGGCTGCTGGTGACATTTTTTCCCCTGTATGTTTCTTTTCATTATCAGCAACTGTTTGCATCCCTGGCATACTCCACATTGCAATGAAAATAACTCATTGCTCCTTTGACATGTGGGCGACAGCTTAACCTCACCAACTTATCACGACGGACAGTCGAAATGTAATTCCAAGACACTGATGTATGAAACTGGTGCTTTTTGCTCAGCTGAACCAGATAAAGAGATTTTGGGTCATTGACAGGACACAGAACAAACATTTTTCTTCACTCAGACCATTGTTCCTTATCTACACATCCATATCTAATCATTTTCATGACCTTAGCAAAAAAAAGAACTGTTTTACACATACAAATAAGCATAATACAATCAGTCCATAGTCCCATTACTCTTGTGCAGAATGAGAAATCTTTAGAATATATAGAAATACAATTTAATTAATACTTTTTTGTGTCTTAAGGGTGAGAATCTGTAGAAAGGACACATTTTGAAAGGAACAATTTACAGATCTAGGCTGTATGGAAGACCGAAAAGACAAAAGCCATTTTATATACAAACCACAAAAAAATCCCATTCACCTTTTAGCAGCATTAGCATACAGTCAGATTTCCAATGAAATGGTATGAATCAAAGAATATTTATGCATGACAATACCTCAATTAATGCTCACACATAAAAATTAACTGAGAGTCTCTGATACAGTTTTTATGGAGTATTTTCTTCATGCTTCTTCTTCACACACATATAATTAGAAGCTATATGTGTCTTTTGTGCCTTTATTCCTTTGAAGCAAGATTTATTGATAATCCCATATACTGTTATAACTTTAACTCACTAAACCATCAAAACATTTGATATATTGTTATCTAAAATGTTTACAACCTATATTTTTTTTAAATCTTTCATTATGCTTATATGCTCTTTGTTATTTTGTTCTCTCGCATAAAACCCCAATATGTTATAATGAAATGTGTTGATGTGATGTCACAAATATGTCAATCTTATTTGAAAAGATACAAATAGGTTTAAAAAGGCAGTTAAGAACGTTTCATACGAAAACACTAACCCACTTTAAAGAGGTGTGTCATAAACTTGGTTTTCTTTTCAGATGCTATGTTACACTGCTGTCTTTAGTATATAATGGGCCTGATGCAAAAGCTTTAATATGACCAAATTTGTTCCTAAATTGTTCGTACAAGTGATTAAGGAGAAGCTATGACATCCACCATTTTTCTTCTCAGTCAGTTATTATCCAAATCTAGTTTTACCCTAAATGACTATTGTTGTTACTTAGAAGAAATTGTCAATTTTATTTTTATTAGGCTTCATCATTATATAATACTAACCCCTGGATTGTATTATGGAAGCTGCACTTGCAGCTTCCATAATACTATCCAGGGGACAATGATTTAATTTGTGTCGCCTCTGTAACAGTCCAACCATGGCACTTGCAGCTCTTGTGATTTATTCTACACTACTTGGTTTTTATTGGTCCCTTAATTCTCAGCTCTCAGTTGGAAGAACCTCGATCTCCAAACTAATAAAGTTTTCTTCTTCGTTTTCAGTGCTGTTTTTGTGAACGAACACATTCTGACAAGCATGGGAAGTCATATCCTCATATGGCATTATTTTGACCGCAATTAAGCAAATAGAAATTTCGTGGGAACATGCTCTCAGTTATGCACAGGCGAACTGCATCATGTTTGCAAGGATCATTTACTGAAGTTAGGAATCATTGTTGATCTTGAAGTGGCACACTCATAGGAGGAAAGGTAGGAGAAAAAGTGAGAGAAATTTACAACAACAATAAAAAAAGTTGTTGCATGAAGCCCATTGAGTGTCGTTTTGGGAGGAAATCATGCATGACTATACAAGACTCCAACCTAACAGTAAACTTTTAGGAATTAGTTAATGCTGTAATTAAGCCCTTTCATTATTTTAAGCACTTGGCAAGCCTGGCGCCACATTGTCATAACTATGCTCCTCTGTAAAAGAAGGATCTGTTGGAGAGATTCATTATTTTACAGCTTTGCTAAAGTAGTTTTTCTTCCTCTTTCACATAGAAAATGGAAAATGGTGAAGGACCTTCTACAGATATCCCAGATATCCCGGCACCACCATATCCTGGTCCTCCTTTGGACTACAATCCACTACCACAATCCACACCTGATTTTCAGCCCGCAACCCAGCCTGTGGCACAGCAATATAACCAGCCAGTAATCCAACCTGTTGCTCAGCATTATCAACAACCTGTTGATCAGCAATATCCCCAGAGTGAAGTACAGCAGTATCAACAGTCTGTTGATCAGCAATATCCTCAGCAGCAATATCCCCAGTCTGTTGCTCCGCAGTATCACCAAATGGATTTTCAGCAATATCCTCAGCAATATCTTAAGAATGGTAAGAAAACAGACACCTTTTTAATATGTCTATAAGTTGTATATTTTTTACAAAATAATGTCGGGCCTTTTCCTGAAATTATTGCTTCTTCTTATATGGCAAAAGCTTTTGACCAGTTTATGACTCAATCAGATAACTACATTATTTTTTTTTTTTAACTCTAGATCAGCAGCCGGTTGTGCAGTATATGGCACAACAAAATCAAGTTGCTCAACCAGGTGGGTGACTTTGTCAATTTGTTTTTCATTTTTAAAACATGACTTTGAATTTTTCAGAGGTACACTGGAGGTCCAAACACAGTGGTGTGTGTTGTGGAAAAAATGGATAAGAACATCCAAACTGTAAAAAAAAACATGAACATGATGAAGGGTGACAGAGTCAGACACTATTCTTTAAACTCGTTGGGTTTTCATGGCTTTTTAAGGACCGGGCTCACAGTGGGTAATAAAGGAAAAGAAAGTACACAGCATACAGTTAACATTTTTAAGTATCTGTCACTAAAAATATGTGTAACTGGCAGTGAAACAGGTGACTGTAGTGCAACCGAGGCCCACTGATGCTCCTGGAAGCATGCTATGTCCGCATTGCCAGACCACAGTTGTGACCTCAATTGAATACAAACTGGGCCTCCTTACCTGGTTAATTGTTGGATCACTGTTTATTATAGGGTAAGTAAAAACTTCAACATGAAAATACACGTAAGATCTGGTGGTGGGCTTAAATGGCTACAAATTATAGATAGTTGTGGTGGCCGAGGACAGCAAACATTGTGCAATAGCATTAATTTATTATGCCTTGCCCCATCAAATGTAACATGTCAAAAATAACTGAATATAGCATTGAGGTTCTGTTGCATATTGTACAGGCCAGGCTGGGACTTTCCTTTCTTGTAACTATCTGCAGTCAGCCGAATGCAAACCCCTCCCCTATTCTCTCTAGTAAACAACCAGTTAAAGTTTAACGAAGGAAGAGGTAAAAGCTTCATGAAATTAAAGAGGTTGATGTTGTGAGACACTTTATAAATAGTTAACTATAAAAAGTCATGCCAATATAGCATATTCTTGTTAAATTAGTACCTTGGTTTTCATTTCCAAATGTACGCATGTCAGTAAAAGCATGGACCCTAACACTGACCGAGAAACAATTACCTACGTGTGATATCACATATCAAGATCCAAACTATTTCTAGTTTTCTTGTTTCTCTGATTTTGGAAAAATCAGAGAAAACATACTGTTTGTTAGTGCTATTTGAGAAAATTTTTGATGTTTTTTAATATCCTTTCTAGTTTTCTGTTGTTATTGTATAATGATCTCAGAATGCTGGACCCAATATTGAAGGTGAGACAGTCAGTAGTAATGTTCAAAAGGTTTATTTTAACAAAAACAAAGCAGAACAGAAATGCTGAGCTGTAGAACTGAGGACCACAGTGTCTGCAGGAGGGGGCGGGGCACCGCCCAATCACTGACACTCTGGTTTGAGAGGTCAGTCCATCCTCTTAATCAAAGGCAGAATCAGCCGATGCACTGCCAATGAGATGCGACCCTGAGCCATCCATTAGGGTCCCCCGATGCAGCAACGCTAGAGTGCAGGCAGGAATCCAATCCAATTCAGGAAAACAGACCAGACAGGGACAGTTCTGTAATCCAGGAGTCTGCAGACTAGGCAGGGGCTCCAATCCATACAGGAACAGACAGATCCAGGGTTCCAGGAATCCAAAGAGAGAGAAGGCAGGTTCAGATTTCAATTAGCCCAGCAGTGAGCTCAGACAGACACGCACAAGGACAGACAGGCAGGCTCAGGGGTTGAGGGACAGAGACAAGACATGGTACCAAGAATAATTGCAAGAACTTTAAACTGGCTGCCATAAACCACCTCATATAAACTTACACATTAACTCGAGCAACAATCTTCTCCTTGGCCACCTTCCTCTCTTTTGTAGCTGTAGCTCTGTTTCTCAGTCTTTTAAACACATGTTCCTTGTTAATTTTATTTCTTTGCAATTCTGCATTAAAATCTCTAGTTCCAGTAGGGTGAATAGGCACTTCCTGTTGCTTATTGTCAAGGTGACTCTTTGAATCGGTGCTCCACAGATAATAGGTTTTCATACTTGTTGCGCACATGTTAAATTCTGAGTGGACCTAGTTAAACTTGATTTAACCAATGCATAGCAGCTGTTGTGAATCCGAACACTCAGAGTTCCCTTATTGTGGCTAGATCAGTTTAGAGCTTCAGATTTGAATCTGAATTTATTACACCTGCTGAATTAAATGGACCCCTGGTCTCCAATTAGGAGCCAGGCTTACGGGACTCAAAACCAAACCTCCCCACAATCCAAGCCAAAACCCTGAGGGCTCCGCAGAGAAGATCTGGGACACGATCAAAAGACAAGATAAACAGCAAACCCTCTCCATCCACTGGCCTCAGGGGATGGGAACATTAACCAGGGACTCAACTAAAACTAATGAAACAAACTAACAAACAGGAATGAAACCGAAATCAAACTATGATCTGGCCCCAATAGCAAGTATATGAAGCAAAACGTGCAGGTGAATGAGATGAGTGGTGATGAGGAACCGGGCAGAGTTAAGCAGGTGAATGAAGTAAGTAATTAATGTCAGCTATCAGGGCAGATCATGACATATTGTTACTAGGTTCTAATTAGTTTAAGATGCATTATGATAAAATGTTATGTTGGTTGTTCAATCTTGGACAGTTAATATATGTTTTTCTTATTACTATTAACCATTTGTCAGATGTGTGCAGCAGTCTGACCAATGAGATAACTGATTATATCTGAGATGAGGTGTAAACTGCAAAACAAAATATTTATAATATGAAATATTTTCGGTCTAATTATTTTTTCCTCTTGCCATTTAGAGTAGAACAGCAAAAATAGCTTTAAAATATTTTGGTCCGCAAAAAAATATATTTTTCAACTTGCCTTCTAGATATGAAAAAAAAAGTACTTTGAAATATTTTGATTTGTAAGTTGATTTTTTCCACTTGCCTTACAGGCTTAATCTTTAATGCCCTGACATTTTTTGAGCTGTAAATAAACATTTTTATAAAAATTTCATACACGCATATCTGGGCTGGACAAAAAAAAAAAAAAAAAACACTTTTATGGTTTGTAAATAATTTATCTTACCTGCTTTTCAACGCTATATACACACACAAAAAGACAAAATATATATATATAAAAAAACTGTTTTGTTGTCAAAGATATTTTTTTGTACTTTTAGGACTTTTCTGTAAATATTGGATCTTCAAAGGGGAAAAAAAGTGTAATCAACAATTGCTAAGTATTTGTTAAAATATTACTAAAAATATTAACTTTCTGAGTTTACTGTACATTCTGACCCCTGAAAACAAACCTTTGCTGAAAACTTTTAAGTACTCTTGAGTTTCTTTTCATGTAACACATTACACTGACATTGAATTTAAAGCTTGGTTTTTACTCACAAATTGCAGACATATACTCTAACCCTATAAATGTGCTTCACTCAACAACAAAAGTCTTGCACCAAACAATTACTCAAGAACACACAGGTGTGGCAGAACGCCAGATTTTCGCATATACCAATACTGCCACCATGAGGCAAATTTATGCCATTAAACATGAACATGGGGTTGCAGAGGATCATGAACGAAAAAAGTTATTAAAAGTCAAATTAAGACCTCTTTAAGTATATATTTCAGATACATGCGGTCAGTTTCTCATCAGCTCTAATAAAGCATCGTGATCAAGAATTAATTTGTCTCTTTTTATTCTACCCTATCCTCCACTCCAGGGTCTGGCCCTGCTGTTTAATCCCCTTCTGTGTGAATGCTTGCAAGGATGTGCAGCATTCCTGTCCACAATGCAACAATGTCCTGCACATCCACAAATTATTGTGAAGCACAGTGAAACCAGCAGTGACCTGTATAAAAGTGGAATTTCCATTATGGTTACATTTATCATTTTCCCCTGATATCTTCTATCATATTCTTATAAGATGTTACCTTGTGTCGTTTTATTCTGAAAATATTTCTTTTTTTTTTTATTTGGGACAAATTCTCACTTTTGTATACTTGCCTTCTATTAAAATGTTGTAAAATGATCTATGTTTTAGATAAAAAAAAGGATATTTTTAAATTACAGATTATACATGTATTTTGTTCTTTCATTGGGATAATTTGACCGTTATTATAGTAGTTTTGTTAGTAAAAATAATTTTTCATTGCTATAAATAATTAAACATCTGATAAATGTTTAAAAGCATTATGATTGTATGCAACATACAAGATATTAGATTAATACAGTTTTTTCTTGGTTTATATTTGCCTTGCCTTATAATACGTATTTTTGTGCATCATGAAGATCACCATTGTAAAATTAAAATGTGTACATTTTACAAGAATGAATCCTGTCCTTCTTTGTAGAGATCACATTTTGCTTAGTGCATCGCTGGGTTAGAAAATCTCACAGTCCAAGAAAGATGCCATCTATAGTACAGTTGCCTTTTTTTTGAGAGGAGGTTTTACAGTAGCTTAAAGGTAAAGGTGCACCATGGGTTTCCGGTTTTACCCATTGTGTCCAATATCTTTATAGAATAAAATAGAATAGAATAGAAAATCCCTTTATTGTCCCACAATTGGGACATTGTTGCATTACAGCAGCTAAAGATTATAGCAAAAATGGTCATACAAATGTGGAACTTAAAGAAGTGTATAAAAATAAAAGAATAAGTGACAGAGTTAAGAGAATAAACAAAACAAATACTTTTTTTTTACCACATAAATACTGTACACCTGGAGAATAAAAAAATCTACATAAAGCTGTGGACATTTTTACACTAATGGCTATGCGAAAAAATAGCAGCAAACACCAGAGATGTGCAAATATATCAGCTGCATGCAGAGATGGCAAAAGTACTCACTTTCCGTACTTGAGTAAAAGTACAGATACTTGTGTAAGTGACGTAAACAGTAACTGCAAAAATCAGCATGAATGTAACAACTTATTGAGGTTTTTGGGAACAGTGATGGTTACAAAGTATTACAGCTGCTTGGAGGAAGGATCTGTGATAACGTTCCCTGTTGCATTTAGGGTGCAGCAGTCTGTCACTAAAGGAGCTCTCCATTTCAGCAACAATACCATCCATCCATCCATCCATCCATCCATCCATCCATCCATCCATCCATCCATCCNCAGCAACATGTTATTTAAGTGGCTAAGACAGTAACTGCAAAAATCAGCATGAATGTAAGAACTTATTGAAGTTGTTGATAACAGTGATGGTTATAAATACCTACAGCTGCTTGGAAGAAGGATTTATGATAACGCCCCCTAGTGCATTTAAGGTGCAGCAGTCTGTCACTGAAGGAGCTTTCCAGTTCAGCAACAGCTTTATGCATAGACATTATCAAACAGATATGTTATTTCAGTTAGGGTCCTTTAGTTTCCCACCTCCAGGGGGCATCCAATCACAGAGCTGGTCTTCCTGATGAACTTATCCAGCTGCTCTCTCTCAGCTACAGATAAGCCACTGCTCCAACAGACAGCTGCATAGAAGGAGTAGATGGAGATCAGAGTACTCTGCATATACAAGGGAACATAAGCGACTTACTGGTTTAGATAGGTGGAAGATATCTGGGTCAAATCCAAACCCAGGAAGCTGAGGCATTCACCATTCACATCATCTCAGCCGTGCAGTTTCCAGACAATGGCAGTCTTAACACAGAAACCTGCACAAACAGACCAATACCTGCCTTTTGACTCACATCACCCCACTGAAACATAATCTTTTTGTTATCAGAACTCTGAGTTACCAGGCTGACCTGCACTACTGTACCTGAGCCTGGAATAAACTATTGCTGCTGTTTTATTGCTTTTATTGTAATGTCTATACTTTATATTTTTCTTATCACTGTTACCTGTCATGTCCCGCACTTTATGTCAGTCTGTAAATGTCAGTCTTGTATATTTCTTGTATATTTGTATATTTCTAGAGAGTAAACGTAATTTCATTTCCCTTGTATGTCTTGTACATATGAAGAAAGTGACAATAAAAGCTGACTTGACTTGACTTGACTGACATTCCCTCCCTTACAGAGAAACATAAAGAACATGAATGTTGTCCAAGTTTACCAGAAGATCATGAATATATTAAATAACTAGAACTGGGAGTTATAGTTAATCAATAGGTCATTCGAATATTAATATGTTAATAGTAGAATGATTATAAATGTTATTTTCTTATTCATCAGGGTTTATTTATATAAAGGTTAGACTCCGGGATTGGCTGTTAAGATCTAGTTGCCTTCACCAATTTAATAATTTAGACTATTGCTATCAGCAGAATTATTAATAACAAACCAAATAAATCTGCCTCGTTCATTCAGATGTAACCAAAGAAGAGTAAATCTAGCCTGAGTGATAAATTGTTTACTGTATAAAATAAACACAAAGACCTTGGGTTGAAATACAATTGTACCTTTATTAGCTGATAAGCATCATCACATCATTACACCATACACGTTTGTAAATAAGGAGACATCCATGGTTCCATTTTTAAATATTACACTATGTTCTCAGATCAAGGACACTACTCTCATTCCATTCCCAAATCTTTTCCCCTTACATAATGAAGATAATTAATTTCTATCTTGACAGAAGAACTGTCCTAGTTAAATAATCCTCTTAACACCCACCTCATTTGATGTAATCTTTGCCTATTTTTCATACCCAAATGAAAAAAGCAAAGCAAAATTGGGTGAGTAAAACACAGCCTAAGCTGCATTTCAGAATTATATATAACAAATTTTGTTTTGTTTTGTTTTCCAACTTAGGCATTGTAATTAAACAAAATCGGCATCCAAACTTCAAAAATATCGAAGTGTTGTTTGTAAACGGTTTTGAACTGATTGATCCAGCCTCAGCAGTGTGTTTCACTCTTACGCAAGTCGGCTCTTCTTTATGCAACCCAGCCATGTCTACCCTTGTTTAAAACCATATTTCATTGGCTATAAAGCCAAACAGCCAATGTGGTCAAACAACAGTGCGTCATTGGCTGACAAGAAGGAGCCTGTCAGCCAGAGAACCTGCCAACCGACCAATGGGCAGAAGTTGATCCTTTAAGACACAGCCCCTCCTCATTTGCATATTGAGGTAGAAATGCTTACAAAAATGTAAAAATGACAGGCAGAAATAAATAGCATTGAAGAACTAAAAAGGGTAAAAAAAAATACAAAGGAAAAATAAAACAGACAAAAATAGATGCGCATAAATAATTAATGAATATAGGTGAAGACTATAACTCAAAATAAATAAATAAGATAATTAATACAGAGGCAAATAAATAAAGAAGCTAATTAAAAGAGATATATACATTTATGTCTCACTGTATAATTTCATTTCTGCCTACATTTATTTGTTTATTGTCTTTTTAGGGGCAATTAATTGTATGCTTATTTATTTATTGAGCATGTATCTATTTCTGTATTTATTTTTAAATATGGAAGAGCTGGTCCTCCATAAACAAATGAGGAGGTAAATCTTATTAGCAAGATGCTAAACGTTAGCAATGACCAGCTAACTTTTCTGATGTCAAAAACCAGACGTTATGTGATTTTCTCATCATGGAAGATTTTTATTATGAATATTCTGGATCTCTTTTTATCTGTGGACCCTTATGGATGAAAGGAATATAAACAATTGAAGAATGGATTTATAAAACAGCTTTTGGACGCCTTCAAAGGTATGTTGTTGTAGCTGGTTTGTAAGTTTACATTTTTAAATGCTGCTATATCTGTGTTAATTGTGCTGTCGTGATCGCTGTGTCCTTATACTGGACTTGGTGGTTGAATTTTGGAGAATCTAAGCTTTCAAACGATGTCTAACATGGTACAAATTTTACCATTGTAATTTTCATGCATTCTAAGTTATTAGTTGTAAATGCTATAAAAACACCGGCGATTAGGATAGATTTTTGAGAAGATAAACTGTTTGGGAAGAATTTATTTTGTACACAAGAGGCAGGTAATATCAGGGTTTAACAGACTCTCAGATTATTAAACTCATCCTAACACCGGTGATGCTTAAACCTTTACCACAGAGGTGTTAACTAGGGGACTTATTAAGCTTCTGTGTTGATGATTAGATGAGGAACACATGTGGCTGCCCAGCCGCTAGTGCCTGCTCACGCCACCTGCTGGAGGAGAGGTAAAACTACAGAAGCAGGTTGAAAACTTCATCTCCAGACCAGATGAAGTAAATATAATTATTTCATGATTAAATACATATTTTCATGCTACTCCACTGAAGTACACCATGAATTAATTTGTGAATGGATATTTTTACAAAGAAACTGGAAATTGACTGAGCTTTTAGCTTTAAATGCTTTTAAGTTGAAAGTGAAAGAATTTGTCGCAGCGTCAATAATCCGGAACTGTTTTTACTTGATATGTTTTTTTTGTTTTGTTTTTATGTACCTGACATTTATTTTAATGTATAAAATAAAGTTTTATGTGTTAAATAAAGGTTAAAAAAAATAAATAAAATTTAACTTTCACACATCTATCAAATTTAGAGAGGCAGGACTAGGGCCGCTCCTAGGAATATTTAGGTAAGAAACTAAACATTTAATTAACAAACATTCTAAAATTTTAATTTTATAACTAAATATTCAGATTTTAAATTTTTAATTTTGAACTAAATGTATGATTCTGTAAAATAATACAAGCTGACATTCAAGCCAAGCGTTCTTCTCTGCAAAACCGGTTTAAACTTGAATCATTCCACAAAGCGAGGTTTAAATATTTTACCGGTGAGTCAGGTGAGTCTTTACTTTCAAGGAAACTACAGTATCTACAGTGTCATCAGGAATAGAGTCTAAAGTTGGATTTGGGTCAACAAATTGAATTTTATAAATTCCCTTTGGGTCCTTCCCAAGTACATTACCGTCTAAAATTAAGTACAAAAAAAAAATTCTTTGTGGTCCACAGCCGACCACGAATTATTCCATGTTTCTAACTATCAACACTGAAGGATTTCTTCCTGGTTTGTAACTTTGGTTAACTTACTTCAGACTAAACTTATCGGATTTCTTAAATCTGTGTGTATGTAGTTGTTGCTAGGATTAACATAACCTCTAGGCAAATAATAAGGGCACCATGATTCTGTTGTAGACCAACCATGTGTGAAAAACACAGACATACATCTTAATATTCCTGCACAACTTACCAAACACATTATATGGAATTAAATCAGACCGGTTTAATTCTTCTGGCCCAGTGGTGTTTCTTGAAACCCCTATGATTACCTGGTAAATTCCAACTATGGCATATTGTTTCACAACACCTTGTGAAGTGTCATCTCTTTTACCACTGTTAGAAGCAGAGATATTCAGAATGGGCACAGTAGCATTGGCATTAGTATCATTGGTATTATTATTATTTATTTATTTTTTTTTTTATCTCTAATCATATTATCAGTTACATTTTAGCCTAAAAGGTGAAATAGGCCAACAAACATCCATAACAAAAACAGAAACAAAAAGAGGACTTTCTCCTTCTATTTTCCACTTCTGTACACCTTCATTGTTTTAAATGAAACCATTTCCTTGTAAGGAACCATTCTGAACCATCCTCAGATTTGGAAAGGCTTCTTTCCCTCTTTTTTCTTTTGGTTTTTAAGTGAGGGATATTATGAAATACAATAAATGTGGCAAAATTAATGTCACGGAAATAAATCAACCCCAGAAAAAAATATTCTTCACTCAAAAGCTCCTCTTCTTTCACACTTTTAATGACTTGAGCAGTGTCATGACATACAATATATGTTGCAAATTTATTTCACTCTCAATATAATGAGATAGTTTCTCATTATATTGAGTTACTATCTCATTATAATGAGATTTTTTTTTTTTTTACTGAGTGGCGGAAACGGGCATCCATACTGTAGTTTTATTTTCCTATATTATAATCATGTAAAGCACTTTACATTGTCTTTGTACTGAATTGTGCTATACAAATAAATTTGCCTTGCCTTATTCCAAACAGTCCCTAATAGTTTGTAAACAACCCCTTTCACTCTCATTCCAGTACGAAACTGATTTAAATCTCATCTGAAACTGACTTAAATCTCATCTGTTATCAAGCAAGTGAAAAATTCTCTTAAATGAACAACTGTATTTACAAACAGGTTGGGCAGGTCTGTTCAGTGATGTATCCCTCAACACTTTTATGGAACACAGGAGTTTATGCGCTGTTTTGAAGCTACTGGCCACACCTACTTCTACCTACCAGCTGTTTTGGTCACACCTACTTCTACCTGCCAGCTGTTTTGCTACATTCTTGTCAATGTTTTGCATTTGAGTAAAAAACACTGTCAGAGAAATAAGACGCTCTGGTTCATTTGCATTTTCATCATCTTTGGAGGCCTATATCAAATCAAAACACAGGTAAGAAAATCTAAAACATTCGGATTAAGAGACAGAGATTTTCTCATACCATTAAGTTGTTTTCTTAGATCCAGATTTCCATAAGTTTGGATTGATATTTTTTGTATTTTAAAACCAATTGAAATTCAACATAACATTCAGGCATGTTCTCAGGTATGCTCTTATTAAACTGAAGAATATTTTCTGATAAGGCAAATTTGTTAGAAGGAAAGGCCTTTTAACACTAACAACCTTTATTCAGTTATCAAAATTAGTTTTCATTAAGCCAAATCTTCTGTGTTAAAAATGTTTTTTATTGTTCTGATGTGGTCACCAAGTTTAAAAGTTCTTGTCTTTAATTACTATATCTTCTTACTACAACTTGGATATAACCGTTTCAATTAGTTGAATGAGTGATTGAAATAAAAGGACTTTTGAATGTGGCAATTTTTTTTAGATAAATGTGTGTATCATATGTTTTTGACACTTTTATATAAAGGTTTGGCAGGAAAAGATTTGCTAGAACTATAATGACTACCAGTTGTGTCAAAAATACATACATTTGTTTATTAAGTAAAAGTATAGATACTGCAGTTTAAAAAACACTCTTGTCAAGTAAAAGTGAAACAGTTTGTGCTCCAAAAACTACTTCAAGTATAAAAGTATACAGTAACCTTTAAAAAAAACAGCCTGATGCAACTATATAAATTTAAAGCTAAATTTTTCGATCATTTTGAAAAATAATTTGAGATAGGGCCAAGGATGAGGGAGGTCTTGTTGGCGCCAATGATCTGCAATGGATGGCGCATATGACATAAAATAAATATTTATAAACATAAACCAAAGCGAAGAGTAACGAGTAACATTTGTTTTTAAAATGTAAGGAATAGAAAGTACAGAAACTTGTGTGAAAATGTAATGGGTAGAAGTCAGAAGTAGGAAGAAAAATAAGTAATAGAGTAAAGTATAGATACCTAAAGAATGTACTTAAGTACAGTAACGCAGTATTTGTACTTTGTTACTTGACACCTCTGATGATAACATATATTTAATTTTTTTATTTTAAAAAGCCATGTAGCAAAAAAAAAAAAAAAAAAAAAATATATATATATATATATATATATATATATATATATATATATATATATATATATATATAGTGTGTCAAAAAAATACCTTTGGCAGAGTGTTAAAGCAGAGTGACATGGAAAGCCAAAAATGGTATCTGGTATGTCACCTTTGAAAGTTCTATGTCAGTTGAAAAGAGGCATATCCCATTTGAAAAATGGTGTATGCTATTGAAAAATGGCATATTTGTTAACTGCCTGTGGTTTCTTTATGTCTTTTGGTCAAACTGATATATCTGATATCATGTAATGCTTTTTAAAAAAATTTTATCAGAAAATTTACAGTAAGGTTAATCATAACATCTCTACCTTTTTAAAAAAAAACACTGCAATTCCTAAACATCATTCAGTCATTTGTTCTCAGTTTCCTGCTGTGTGCCACACCTACACCTTGTTAGTTAAATTTGTCTTGAAATGCATTACCCAGCACAGCCACCCCAACCGGTTTGTAATAAGTACTGACTTTATTGAAGTTGTGACTCTTTCAAGCTGTAGAAAATGAATAAGATCTGTAATAGAATAAATATAATCTTGAAGAATATCTGACGCTACAGCAGACCTGTATGCCAGATATAATGTCACATGTTTTGAGTTTATAAAGCACCCTATGTTTTTTACAAAAAATTGTAATTACTTAAAAAATTTATAAATCATCAACAATTAAGATGGACTGGGTGCTTAGTTGTGTTCCAAACTCTCTTTCCTTAAAAATGGGTAAAAATCCAGGTGCTCTGCTGGAGGGCAATGTGATGAGGGTGAGGGAGTGGCAAGGTAAATTATTTTGGGCGGGGGGGAATGGCTCCGGCTGGGTGGCCTGTATGGGACATGTTGCCCCTGTCCCCCGGGGGCTTTTATTAGGGGTCATCTGGCCCGGGTGCGGGATGGGGGGCTGGGTCCAAAGTAGGAACAAGGTGAGTTAGTGTAGTACTGACACCCCCACCCCCCCACCCCAATCCCCAGTGTTGTTGGAAAGACTGTAGTAGGGTTAATGGACTCTGATCCTGCTAATTTCAGAATTTGTTTGTCTTACAATAACATTCAGAAGAAGCAGCAACAAGAAAAATGGGCAGGAGCATGCAACAGAGGAACAGAATTTATTGGTTATTATTATTTATTAGTGACAGCGATTATTCCTATGCACATTTATAATTTTTATTAAACACAACAACACCACCTCTGACATGTTCCAAAATGTTAACGAGCTTACTATATGCTCTTCTCTATTATTGCTCTGTGAAATAATACCACAATATGATACACTGAAATGTGTTGATGTGATTTGGTAAATATGCAATCCTTGTTTGAAAAGAAAAAATATATAAAAAAGGCCCAACTGTTTTATATGAGAACACTGACCCACTGTTTTGTGATAATCTATTCTTCCCAATGCTGTTACACTGCTGTCATAGGCTATATATAATCAGTGTTGTTTTGGGAAGAACTCATGTAACCTTAACAATTAACTTTCATGAGTTCTTTTATTCAGCAATCAATCGCTCTCCTCATTTTAAGCACTTTTGGCAAACTTTGTGCCACAGAGTCACAACTATGCTTCTATTGTAAAAGGCTGCTGGAGACATTAATTATTTTACAGCTTTACTAAAATAAATTTTATACATCTTTTACTTCAAGGATGGAAAAAGGTGAAGGACCTCCTCCAGATATCAAAGTTTCTCCAGATATCACAGTTCCTCCAGATATCACAGTTCCTCCAGATATCACAGTTTCTCCAGATATCACAGTTTCTCCAGATATGCCAGCACCACCATATCCTGGCCCCCCTTTGGAAGACAACATGGTCAATAAATCACCACCAGTATACACAGCGGATTTTCAGCCTCCAACCCAGCCTCCGGCCCAGCAATATAACCAGCCAATATTTCAGCCTGTTGGTCAGCAGTATCCCCAATCCACTGATCAGCAATATTTCCAGCCTGAAGCCCAGCCGTATCAACCGCCTGTTGACCCATATCTTCAGCAGCAATATCCTCAGCAGTATTCTGTACCTGGTATACAGCAAAATACTCAGCAATATGCACATGTAAATGGTAAGAAAACAGACATTTAAATATGTCTACACCTTGCATATTTTCACTTAATAATGTTAAGTCCTTTCCTGACATGATTGCTTCTTCATATATGCTTAACACTTTATGAATCAGTATTTTTTTCCCCCCTGCGTCTAGCTCAACAGCCGGTTGTGGTGTGTGTGAATCCAGGTGTCGGTGGGTGACTTCATCAATTTGTTTTCTATTATTAAAAACTTACTTTGAATTTTAGAGAGGTACACTAGAGGTCCAAAGATAGTGGTGTGTGTTGTAGGAAAATTATACAAATTTGCAAAACAAGGAAATAGAAAATGGTTAACAACATCAAATTTTATGAGCCATTGTTGTGTCAGCCTCTATTATCTGGTCCAGTCCGATGAGGTATATGTTCTTTTTGCATTTTGACCATTTAGCTGGGTGACCCTTGTACAAAACAAGGCATAGAGCTTTTGAATACTTTCCAATATTATCCAAAAGTCAGCCAGGAAGTCTCTCCCCGAAACCCCCGAGTCAACCTTCTGTCCTTCTTACACAGCCTAGAGCATTACCATATAAGATGATAGAGGAGCCACTCTGGCCATCGCATGCCAACTTTTGACTGACACAGAAGATTGAACACATACATAAATAAACTGATGTAATGGTTATTAAAAAGAAAAGAACAGAAAAAAGATCTCCAACTCCATTAACAAGAACTGTTACAGGGTCTGCTACGGTGGTGAAAGCAGTGGTTGCGCAACCAAAGCCCACTGATTCTCCTGGAAATATGCTATGTCCGTATTGCCAGACCACAGTTGTGACCTCAATTGAATACAAACTGGGCCTCCTCACCTGGATAATTGTTGGATCACTATTTATCATAGGGTAAGTAAAAACTTCAACATGAAAACACACATAATGTCTGGTGGTGGGCTTAAATTTCTACAAACTATAAACAGTTACGTCGGCCGAAGAGGAAAAACATGGTCCGATTGCATTAGGTCATGGCAAATTCCAAAAATTCAGCAAACACAAAATTTAGACTAGCAAACTTGTGAGACACACAAGAAAAAACACAAGCATGGGGTTAGCAAACAGATAAATGATGCCGTCACACAAAAAACCCATATATACGTAAAATGCTGAAAATAGCAAAGCAACTGCAGATTAAGAAACACTGCAAACTTCTACTGCATAAAGGAAGTTCTCCAGACCCAGGGGATCAGTGGCAGCGATACACTGGAGTAGAGTCCTGCACGGGTCGAGTTTTACCAACCCGCATCTGCCCGAACCCGTAAGGATGACTACCGAACCCAACCCGTCACCCGTGGATATCTTCAATTCAAATCCAAACCCGACCCGACCCGTTGATATTTAAACCGCAACCCGACCCGTTAACACATCAAGTAATAGGCTATAGTACGCTGCGCTGCAGAACAGCGCCATCAACACTGCAGCAGACGTGTATGCACTGACTGTGGCCTTTTTGGAGGGAAGCCCAAACTGCTGGCAGGGCTTTAAGCTACAACAAGGGTGACCCCAGTGCCTGATTAATATAACATTTCTGATGTCCATAACAACACACACGCATAAAAACGACCCCCGACCCATTTATTTTTATTTATGTATTTTTCCCACACAAAAAAGAGCATTTTAGCGGGTGACCCGTCGGGGACCCACGGCTACCCGACCCATTGCAGGACTCTACAATGGAGCAAGAAGGAATGTTTGCATTTTGTCATTGACTCTTCAGCAGTCCCTCACATCTTATTGAGGCCCTGCTGCGTATTGCGGTGGTGAGGCTGTAATCTTTTTCTGTGTTGGCCCAAAATCCTCTTCTGCTACTTCAAGAAAAGCCAAAGGGGGTAAACATTTTTACTATAATTTTTCTTACTTTCCAAACTCATGGTTTTAGTAGTTCCTTAAAATCTCCCGTCTGGTAAGCTTGCAGTGATTATTTTCACTTGCATTTCACCATTTACTCTTCAGAAATCTCTCACATGGAGCCTGCATGCATCAACAGTGGAGAGAAAATTTCCCTTTTACCAGGAAGAAACCCCTAGCAAAACCAGGCTCAGTGTGAGTGGCCTTCCGTCGAAGCCGACTAGGGTTAAAGGAAATAGAAGCAGACATACAAAAAGCAGCAGAATACAAAAGGTACTTTTGTACTAGCTCCACCAGTTGCCCAATCCAAGAAAGACACAGCCAGGCAGACATGCTCCAAGCCAGTTTCCATGTCAAAGGATGAAAGAGAGCACATACAGTTAGTCATGGTAAAAGAAACAGGCCAAACTCAAACATCTTTAACCAAACTCCAACATCTGTAAACAAAGTTGTTGATGGCAGCAGCCCATGATATTTATTCGATGATGGAGTCGTGTTCAAAAAGGAGCAGACCAGATGAAGCTACTACAACAAGAACAATCAGAAAGAGCATACATGCATGGGTGGATCTAACCCAAGGGTTCTATTAAAAATGTAAGCACCATGGACGGTCCATAGAATGCTCTTACCATGTGGAATTCCCTGCTCGCTGCTTCCCTCTGCGGTTTGCATAGGGGTATTGTGTAAATTTGCTGCGGACGCTGCATGTGGTCTGAATGCAACTTCTTATAAATTAACAACCTCACTTGATTTTGAGGTCTAAACTGAAAAAACAAACAAACAAACAACGTAACAACTAAAGTATTTATAGGTGTAATTTTCTCTTTTGCCATTTAGAACTTAACAGTCAAAAAATAGTTTGAAATGTTTTAGTTTACAAAAAAAAAATTTTTCAATTTGCATTTCAGACATGAAAAAAAAAACATTGTTATATTCTTATTTGTAAGATTTTCTCTCCACTTACCCTTTAGGCTTAACCAACAAAAAAATTATTCCCTGAGATATTCTAGTCTGTATATAATTTTTTACATGGCTTTCGGGGATACACATAGACACAAAACAACAAAATATATTACAAAAATATATTTTCATCTTTAAAAAAAACTTTTCTCACTTGCCTTCCAGGGCTTCTCTAATATTGAATCTTCATAGGAAAAAGAAGTGTAATCGTTTTTAACATCAGTAATCTCTACCTTCTTTTGTTACAACTTTAATAAAAACTAATCCGTCCCCAATTTAAAAGTGATATTCTGATTTGTGCGGGCAAAAGTTTGCTGACAAAACAGTTTATTTCTCTTTCCAACAGACTACACTTACAACTACCTTAAAGCGGGATTTTTACATCACAAAAATTGTAACATGCTTGGCCAAACATGAGTGTCCCTCTATAAATGTGCTTTATTTTACATCAAAAATCTTGAGCATCAAACTAATCGTTTGATGCTCCAGAACACACAGGTGTGGCAGCATTAGTGTTGCGCTGATGCCATTCTTAGGTCCCGATACCGACACCCGATACCTTGTTGTGCAGTATTTGCCGATACCATACCAATACCATCTGTTTGAAATTGTTGTGTTTGTTTGTATATGAAGAACTGCATACTACATGGATGTAAAATAATTGCCATCATAGCTTTGTCAAGCTGTTGCCTACATGTGTGAAGCAGTAAAAGACTAATACAAAGTGAATTGAGTAGAACTTTTTATTGCCTACCTAGAATGGATGACAATCGTTAAATAAACTCTTGGCTCTAAAAATGATATCGGTGCCATATTTGTCGGTATTCGCCCATACCAATACCACCATTTTAGTGCACTATCGGGGCCTTGGCTGATACTGGTATCGGTATCGGTGCAACACTAGGCAGAACACCAACTTTTCCTATATACCAATACTGCAACCAAAAGGCTAATTTATGCCATTAAACATGAACATGGGCTTGCAGATGATTATGAACAAAAGGATATAGTATTAATCAAAACAGCTAAATTAATAAAAAAAAAAAAACGTTGTGACCTTATGACCTCTTTAAACTAAAGTATATATTTGAGATAAATATGTTGTTTCTCATCAGCTCTAATAAAGCATCTTGATCATTAATTAATTTGTCTCTTTTTATTCTACCCTATCCTCCACTCCAGATTCTGGCCCTGCTGTTTAATCCCCTTCTGTGTGAATGCTTGCAAGGATGTGCAGCATTCCTGTCCACAATGCAACAATGTCCTGCACACCCACAAATTATTGTGAAGCACAGTGAAACCAGCAGTGACCTGTATAAAAGTTGACTTTCCATTATGGCTACATTTATTTTCGTACTATCTTCTATCAAAATTTTACAATGTTAACTTGTGTTGTATTATTCTAAAAGATGTTTCATAGTTAAATGATTGTACACAAATCGTAACTCAAGTGTATTTCTTCCTTCTGTTTAGTTGTTTATGATTCATTGATTTAACAATATACATGATGCATGTATTTTATTGTTTCACTGGGGTAATTTAATCAGGTATGGTAGTGGTTTTGTTGGCTAAAGTAATTTCCTTTTACTATATATAATAAAACATCGGATCAATGTTTAAAAGCATTATGATTCTAACTGTATACTATATGTAACATACAAGAGATAAGATTAATAATAGATCCTAATTTTTTATTTTTTTCTTGTTTTCCTTGGACCCTAATACGTTTTTTTGATCATCCTGAAATGTTGTGTGTAAAAATACAATGTGTAAATTTTACATGAATGAATCCAGTCTTTCTTTATAGAAGTGGCACCTTCTAAATATGGTTTCTAAAATAGACTTTGCTCAGTGCATTGCTGGGTTATAAAACCTTGAAGACCAGGAAAGTCTTTGCCTTCCGCGGTATAGTTGTCTTTTCTCAGACTGCTGTCTTGGTACTCTTTGCCAGAATATAACTTTGTTTATCATCAGGTAAGTAAACAATTTTCTTTCGAGCAGAAAAAAAAATGTATTCTTTTACTGCAGCCTCTCAGAATGAGAAAGTTGTTTGTATCATTACAATACTAGGGAGTAGCAGCCTAGTGATTAGGGCTAGGAATCCTGAAGTATTAGTTCGAAACCCACTCCCACAGACTGCCACTCTTGGGGGTCTGAGCAAGAACCTTATTGATTGCTACCTGGGCACTGAAGAGTGACAGATCACTCCTCCCCATAGGGGATGGGTTAAATGCAAAGAGTTAATTTCTCCACTGTAAGATCAATAAACTTACATTTATTTATTTTATTTGTAATTATTATTTTACTTTTGAAAAACCCGAAATGTACCAATACTAATCTTTTAAAATTTCTATTCTTTTCATAAAGTGGTAGTGAAGGGCAGGGCTGCTGAGAGCACTTTTGAACAGGGGATGCTATGAAATTTTTTTTTGGGGGGGGGGGGTTTGGACGAAAGACCTATGAGCCTATAGGCCTAATTAAAAATCAATAAAAAAATAAAAGTAAATAGATTGAGATTCACTACTTTATTGTCATATACACCTCAGTGCACACAAGCAGGGTCTGTAACACAAAGACATCATTAGTTATCAGGTGAATTAATGCGCTATTAATTAAAATTCACCATAAAACTATAACAATATAGATTTGGTCAGCTAGCATGACCCCGAGTCACTTTGTTTATCTCACACATGACTCTATTAGCTCCAAAATCCTTTTACATAAACCACAAGGACAAAATTATATTATTACCGTAAATCCACTAATATTGGTCTGTATTCCATTAGCGGCCGGGACTCTAACAATGGCCGGTCTCATTGTCGCCGGATTTAAATCATGACCGGACTCCTATACAGGCTGGGGCCATAATTCGATATTAACAATGCACTATGTTTGCTTTGTGGTGAACAACGTTAAAATGACAGAATTTCATTGGCCTTTGTTGTTCTGAATTTCCCTTGAGATATACGATAGCGGTTGCCTACTTCCACTTAGGCTAAGTTTAATATGTCGCTGTGATGGCAGAACAGTTTCCTTTAACTTTTTGTCCCATTTTGTTGTACTTTGTTCCTTAAGTCGTTTGGCCAAGATTACATTCTGTGTAGGCTTTTTTTTTTTTTCGCATTGCCATGCAGAAAAATTGCAGCTGCTGGGAGATGTCTTAATTACCTGTATTTGTTGATAATGTTCTGTATACCACTATGGTAACTACTTTTTAAATTTTTTTTCCATTGATTCTAACCCTTTTAGGAAAGGGGCTAAAACCCTGGTCAGTAATCAAATTACAGTTATAATCATTTAGCTGATAATGAATAACTAGCTTTACCCTTGATTTGAATGTCCTATTAATTAACTAACTTCCAGTTCTAGTTATTTAATATATTCATAATCTAAGTTAAATGGCACAACAACTTTGAAAGTGTCTACAAGTGCAGTCCCAAAAACCCTTCAAGCATTACAAAGAAACTGGCTCACATGAGGACCGCCCCAGGAAAGGAAGTCCAAGAGTCACCTCTGTTGCGGAGGATAAGTTCATCCGAGTCACCAGCCTCAGAAATCACAGGTTAACAGCACCTCAGATTAGAGAGCAGGTCAACGCCACACAGAGTTCTAGCAGCACACACATCTCTAGAACAGCTGTTAAGAGGAGACTGTGTGAATCAGGCCTGCATGGTAAAATAGCTTCTAGGAAACCACTGCAAGGACAGGAAACAATCAGAAGAGACTTGCTTGGGCTAAAGAACACAAGGAATGGACATTAGTCCAGTGGAAATCTTTGCTTTGGTCTGATGAGTCCAAATTTGAGATCTTTGGTTTCAACCATCGTGTCTTTATGCGATGCAGAAAAGATGAACTGATGGACTCTAAATGCCTGGTTCCCACCATGAATCATAGAGGAGAAGGTGTGATGGTGTGGGGGTGCTTTGCTGGTGAAACTGTTGGGGATTTATTTAACATTGAAGGCATAAAGTACTGAACCAGCATGGCTACCACAGCATCTTGCAGCAGAATTCTATTCCATCTGGTTTGCATTCAGTTGGACCATGATTTATTTTTCAACAGGACAAGGACCCCAAACACACCTCCAGGCTGTGTAAGGGCTATTTGACCAAGAAGGAGATTGATAGGGTGCTGCACCAGATGACCTGGCCTCCACAATTACTCCACAAATCCCAAAAAATAATAATCTGTCATTAAATTACAATTCATAATTTTGACTCATTACTTTGTTTTGGTCTTCTGGCATTCCAAAACACATTTTATCCTAACAAGTTTACTCATTTTTTCCATAACACTCCACAGAAAAGTAATATCCAGTTGTTTCCCATGAAATAAAATCGTGATTATTGGGTTCCAGTTTGTGGGGTCAGTTTGTTTTCCTTTTCAGTTCCACTGTTCGTCCACCAGCTGGTGCCACCTGGTTACTCTGAGTTGGAGGGGTAGCCAACACAAATCAACCATCCACACCTGCAATGAATCATCATTACCTCAGAGGAGTATATGAGCAGGTAACTGTCTTCACCTCTTCGCCAGAGTGTTTGCCTGTTTTGGGTAATCTAGCCCCTCTGAGCTTTGCTGAGTTTATGTGTGAGCTTTACCAGTGAATTTGTGCTCTTACCTATTTTGTTTCTTGTGAATTTTCGGCAGGAAACCTACACAACCTCTGGGAAAACCTCTCGAGACACCGAAAGTTCCACAACTCAACTCTTCTGAGCTCCAATCTCATCAAGGTCTTCAATTGACAGTCTGCTCCGCTGCTCCTCTGTGCTACCATAAACTTACCTGTCCGCCCTCCAACAACTCGTCCACCTTCAACCAGCCAAGGCCTCCACAAACTGGAACCTCTTACCACCCTCCAATTCAGGCAGCTAGTTCAATTCAGAACAGAGCATCGGTCTTAATAAAAGAAGCTTTGCAATGAAGCATTGGAGGTGTTTAGTGGGCTGAAAAGATTGTGCTCATTTACAGTGTTGGGGGTTAAGGGTTAAATAAACAACACATGACACAAGTTACACAAGTAATGCGTCACTGTAAAATATTAGATTTGGCAGTAGGACAGTACTATAATGGCTTACAAACACATTTTTTTATATAGTATTACAGTTACTAAGGTGGATAATGCATTACAATCTGAGCTGAACCACCCACAGCGAGTGACTTAAATAAAGAGAACAAATGTCTACAGATAAGAATAGTACAGGTAACCTAAAAAAACACCTGGAGAGAGTGCACAGCATTCTTAAGCTATAGGCTAAATTATCTCTTACCAGCAACAAGTCAGAAGATGATGGTGCAAGTAAATCTACAAAACCAAAGATGGATTTCTCCACACCAGAGGTAAAGATGTTCGACCCAGGAGAAGTGAGAAGGCTGATGGCAAAGTATGTCGTGGAGGATGCGCTTCGTCTTTCTATGCTTTAGTTGTCAGCATCTATAAAGCTCATCAGAAAAATCCCTGTTCTTATTAGTAACAAGGTAAAAACATATGTCTAATGATGCAATACTTTTGTTTTCCATGGTTCATTTAACCCCTTGATGCCCATATTTATATACATGTATATATTTTTAAGAAATTAAAAATGAGAGTTACTAAAAGCTAATAAGTAATTTGTTACTTTACAAGAAAAATAAATAATTGAAATATATATTGATATAATAATTGAAAATGAACATTTTACTTTCGAAAAACAAAGGTAACTTGTAATATAAAACATATTAGATTTTGCCCAACACAGCTTCTTTATGGGTGTAAGGAATGAGAGGACAAACAATTACGCACAGAAAATTCATTGTCCAAATTCTGAAAGCTGAAATTTTGAAATATTTTTTAAAAACGTGTTGAAATAAAAATGTGTGTTGAGCTCTCATATAGCGATGTGTTCTTTTATGGTTCTAAATTCTTCATAAAATTCAAATACTCTAGATAAGAACTTTTGGTCCTAATTTGGATCATCTGTGTCAAATACTCCCTTTTAAATACAAAAAGGATCACCGTTTGAAATTTTACACAGTTGTTCTCCAAAACATGAACAACAAATGTAGTGAGTTGAGAAGGTCAGCAATAAATTATATTCAAGATATAGAAACATTAAATATTTCTTTTTTATGCAAGAAAAAAAAATATTTTGGACATGTTCAAAGTTATATAGATCAAGTTTTAAGTTTTACAATCGTTTTACTAATGTTTCTCCAGAAACTAGACGATCTTAGCTTTCAAATGAGATACATCACAAGCATGTATAGCATATTAAATAACTAATTAAATAAGTGGAACATATTTATTTATTAAGGATAAAGAAATATACATAATATTTAAGGTAACATTTAAATGTTTATATTTACTGTATCCCGGGAAATACTTAGCCTCACAGGACACAAAAACCGGGGTTCTAAATGTGCATTATATTTTATTTTCCATTTAGACACATTAACCTAAACTGTCTTGTTTTTTACTTTTGTTCAAAAATGAGAACAAATGCGAACCAAACGTTAAGTAACCACTGAAATGTGGCAATCTCTAAAATAAAAGATAATTTACCAAAAAAAGAAAACACAATATCTAAAGAACAAATAAAGAAATACGGCAATGGCCTCTGACTGCACAAACAAAATACAGAGAACTACATTACATCACAGTGATTTAGAGCACATGAAATTGTGATATGACTTATTTTATCAACACTTACATTCCACAATAAGATGATCAGACATCTTATTTCATGTGCAGGAAATAGCCGCAAAGCACCGCACATACAGGTTCCCTGAACCCTC